GATTTTGTCAAATCGCAAGGGAGTCGTCTTTCATCACGACAACGCCAAACCACACGTTTCGAAAAAGACGCTGCGCAAACTGAAGAGCCTGAAATGGGATGTCTTAACGCATCCACCGTATTCTCCTGATATCGCACCATCTGACTATCACTTGTTCCGGTCATTGCAAAATTATTTAAATGGAAAAAACTTTGACTCTTTGGAGGCCTTAAAAAACGGCGTCTCTTCGTTCTTCGAATCCAAACCGCGCAGTTGTTATGATCGAGGCATCCGTATACTGCCAGAACGTTGGGAAAAGATTATAGAAAACGATGGAGAATATATCATTGATTGAATAAAGATTTTTGTTTGCCTAATCACTGTGTGACTTTTACTCACAAACTCCGCACGAACTTTTGCACTCACCCAATATTTGTTTCTCGAAGAAGCGACGCGTTTTGATCACGATCCGAGTGATAGAGATTGTTCATCCCGCGAATATCGTCGTTTCCCACGACGATTCGTCCTATTACCCACATATATTCTGACATTGTATACGTGCACATGTGTGCGCGTTGTATCTCACATATAGTAATAGTATCTTACGTAATGTCCCGATTCAGACGTAGACGAGTCGGAAGGATGGTGAATCGAGGAACGTCATTTGTCGAATATTGGAGTACAATCTGGTGGATTGTATTCTTTGAAACATTCGATCTTCAATAGAAGAGAGGCCAGAAATATAGAAGCTGGAAGCCGAGGAGAATCTAGGACCCGCTGGAGATCCCGGAAGATGACATATCGCGCTACGAAATAGGCTCTGAGCTCGCTCGTGTCATCTGTAGCGGTATTGCATTTAATATCGAAAACAATTCGTTCGAAATGTACAAAAATACCGTGCATTTCATCGCGGCGCTCTGGTATATCGATTGTTTCTGACATTAAGGCAGCTAAAACATGTTCAATGTTCCTTATCGTGCTGTATGCTCGCGATACACAATCAGGGCGTGAGTCCTGATTTCAGTATTGCGGGGACAAAACTCCATCGTGCACGAGTCTCGTACACGAGAAAATGAATCAATAAATAGAAATGCGAAAATATCCGCATTGCGCCGTGTCAATGCGCTATTCAACGTCTCGTCACGCTCTCCCTCGTTTCTCGAGAGGAATCTCGTTTCCTAGGAAGAATGCCGACAGGCGAAGCTATCGAGGATTCTAGAGAAAATGACGTATCTTCAGATTCAGCGAACGAGCTCCCTGTCTCGTTGATATCGCCGCAGAAGGATGCATCATGCGCCCGGAATCGATTCTGTCAAGGATGTTAACGATCGTGCGCCGATAACCGATCTCTTGATAGAAGCACCGTAATTATATAACGTTGATTGAATTTTGCGTTAGGTGTACAAATGAATAATCCACATTATTTTAAGCAGTTATGAAATCAATTTTAAATTGAATAGATTTTCTCGCTCTTTTGTGATTATGCAATGTTGACATATACAGGCTAAAAAGAACATATAGTTTGGCGAAAGGCCCAACGTAACCTTCAAAAGTATTCAGTTCAGTACAGTCGAAAATGGCAACAGATAAGGTGCATATCCGACACTGCATTCTTTACGAATTTCAACAAGGAAAAAATGCTGCAAGAACGTGCGAATCGATTTGTTCCTTTCTCGGCGAAGGTGTTGTATCGTACGATGTGTGCGCATTTTGGCATTAAGCGGTTTAAAAGCGGTAATTTCAGTCTAATCGACAAACAACGCCCTGGAGGCCCTCCGAAGTGTTCTAATGATGATTTGGAACAATCATAAAAAGAGCATGCAGAACAGTTGGGAGTAACGCAGCAAACGATTTCCAAACGCCTACATGAGATGGGAAAGATTCAGAAAGAAGGAAAATGGGTTCCGCATGAACTCGCTGAAACCAACAAAAATCAACGAGTGGCAGCGTGTCTTTCTCTTCTCAATAAGCAGCGTCGAAAGCAGCTTTCTTGTGGAAAATCGTTACGGGCGATGAGAAATGGATACTCTATGACAGTCCGAAACGCAGAAAGTCATGGGTAAATCCCGGCGAATCATCAAAATCGCTTCGGAAAGAAGGTTCTTCTCTGCATTTGGTGGGATATCAAGGGCGTGCTTTATTATGAGTTGTTGGAACCGGGTGAAACCAGGCAGTTACTGCGGACTGCTACCAACGTCAATTAATCTGCTTGAATCAAGAATTGGAACGAAAACGCCCGTATACTGGCAAACTGGGAGAATGTCCAGTGAAATTGTTGCATGACAACGCCAGGCCACACATTGCTTCCAATACAAAAGACACCACAATGAGTCTTGGCTGGGACGTCTTGCAGCACTTGCGGCGTATTCACCAGACATTGCTCCATCCGATTATCACTTGTTCCGGTCGATGCAACACGCCTTGTCCGATATGCACTTCCAATCAGTGAATGAGATCCGAAAAAAAATGGCTTGACGACTTTATCGTGTTCAAAGACGTAACATTTTTCCGAGATGGAATTCATCAGTTGCCTGAAAGATGGCTTAAAGTTATAAAAAGCAACGGCGAATACTTTGATTGAACAATTTAATTTACTTTCTTTTAAAATAAACCTTGAATGTAGCTGAAAAAATTGGATTATTCATTTGTACACCTAATATTATACGCGCGCACTCCTGCGGATTAACCGCTCGGTCTCGAGCTATCGCAAAAGTATGTAGATTGTCCTTTTAGTTACTCGCGCACTCACATTTAAGTGTGAGAAGACCTGAGCGTACGTGTGCTTGTTTATGTAAAAAAAAAAAAATTTACTATTAAAACTTGGACAATACTAAAAATATTCCAAATTTACGAAATTCTGCTTCTGCTCTTTACGACTAGCTGGCTACGAATGAAATTTTCATTCGTTTCTGGGCGAAAGTAGTACAGTCGCGTTATAATCAGACCGGGATATAAGTGGAAATAGTCGCGTTATTACCGAACAAAACGTGACATGCAAATTATTATATGACGGTCAAAATGAAAATTATGTACTTTGCTTAATATATATATATATATAACTTGATAAAAATAATTTCTAACGTTGAAAATGATCATACAATTATCTTTTCGTCTGCTGATTATCGCACGACCCATTCGACCTGACGGTATTCGACGTGATATTATCAACGTCAACGTGTGTATGAAAGGCATGTGTTGAAAGATATTCAACACAAGCTGCGGTCTCGCGTCTTCCTTTAATAAATTTTGAACAAAGATATCTCGTCGCGCGCCCCTGCCCTGACGACCCGTGCTACGGGAAAATGATGAGTCCGCGCCTCATTTATATCAACGCGAATCCCATTCAGTGTACGGCCTCGTATAATTTTATACACATACTATGTTTCATGCAATCTCATTTTAGATGACATTATTTTCGATTCATCACTACTGGTAGCGACGACCAAAACGTTGTTGAGACATCATAAAATTACAAATTAATATTTCCGTAAAACATCTCTCGATTTAGATTTTGCTCTCGCGAGTCTTCATCTGAACATTTTCGAAATTGGCAGTAAAAGTAGATGAAACAAACTTCACTCTTCATCATACGATGCATTATGCAGGGTTGATGCAAGTTAATGTAAAATAAGCTTACCGCGTCAAAGTGTCATGAGACGAAAACGGCCAACGACGACGCGCGAGGCGTGTCGTCGTTCGATACCAAGCGAAACCTTGCGAAACACGCTGTCATGGCGATATGCAATATATTTTCCAGTTAGACAGCGTCTCTCAGTGAAGGGAGCAGAGTTAGGGAGCCGCATCCCTCATCGCTGATCGCGTAGCTTTAGCTTTAGCAAGTCGCGAGGACAACGTGAGTTTTCTCTCGATAACCGCAGTCCCGCGGTAACCTCGATGTAACCTCGCGAGCAATCCGCGAGCAAGTATCGTAGCGCGCGCGCGCGCGAGAGGGACCATTCGTAGTTTTCGCTTTCCTCTTATCGAGGCCAGGAAGAGATGGATCCCATGGCGTCATGGCTTTCAGCTTGGACTACGGAGTTACGGGAAGATGATGTAGCGTCGCACGACGGCAGCAACAGCGGAATGAACTCTCGTTTACAAACCGGCGCGCAGGCGCAAGAACGATCTGGATGCACTGTCCGGAACGTTTTGCCGGCCAGCAACCGGGAAGATGAATTACATCGGAACGTGATGATACCGTCTGGCTCACGGTCGCGCCGATCGGAATCGCGGAAACTTGTGCACGGGGAGAGCTCCCGTCTCCACACATACACACATACACACATGCACACACGCACGCACGCACGCACGCACGTCGGCAACGATCAGCTTCTCGCGCGCGCGCGCGCGCGCGGTTGGTCTTTCTGGCCCCCTTTCTCTCCCTTACCTCCTCTCATTCGTCTTATCGAGGGCTCGCGTGCTCTCGAGCTTTTCTTCGTGTCTCGGATAGTGGATGGCGGGAACGCGAGAGAAGAACAGGAGGGTGGGCGGCAGGGGGAGAGAAGCGAAGAGAGAGAGGGAGACAAGATTGATTGCATCGAATCTCGCGTACAGTCGACGAAAGAAGCCCCACTGTCGGGGCTTCCGCGAGTGCGGCGTTTTAAGGAATTTCGCTTGCATCGCGAAACGGCGGATTTCGCCGACCTCGAAACGCATGAATAGGGATGAACGCTCCGTCAGGCTCGCGACGGGAATCGCTTGTTCCGCTTCCGGCGATACCGAGCGAGAAATTCCGCAGAGTACTCTCTGATAATCGGGGAGAATCGAACCGCGATAATCCACCTCGGCTGTTATTAATGTCTTCACCGTGCAACCGTGCTCTCCGTCGTAACATTTGTAACGAATGTTCTTTCAGAGCGCATTCTCCGGACATACCCGGATATACCGATGCGGTACATGGCAGGAAAAATCGGAAAAACGCAGACGCACCCTTATCCGCGTATCGGGATCGGGATCGCGCAAACTAATGTAACGCGCTCGTTTGGATGAGGTGGGCATAGATGTAAATGTAGACAACGCACCTCGATGTTTACGCCAGGTTGGCTAAACATGAGTATCCTCTGCTCACTTTCCGGCATATATCGGAAGAACTCGTGCTCGTCCTTGTACCATTTGACCGAGTAGAGTCCGTTCCCTCCAAACAGCCGCCACTCGCATATCAGCTCGACCGAGGAACCTACCACGGCCTCCGTCGGCACCTTAACCTCCACTTTGATGTCGCTACCTGAAACACGAGCACATTCACATTGAGCGTTCATGCAAAGCGGACGCGGCTCCACCGTAGACAAAATCACCGCTGATTTGGACTGAAAAAGACTGTAAAAAGAGGCCGAGAGAGAGAGAGCGAACTTTGGTGTCACGTTCAACTTGGCACGCGCGCGTAAGAGCTTGGCACAGAGAGAGAGAGAGAGAGAGAGAGAGAGAGAGAGAGAGAGAGAGAGAGGGGAGGGAGGAGGGGAGAGGAGAGAGAGAGGGAGAGAGAGAGAGAGAGAGAGAGAGAGAGAGAGAAATCTTTACTCTGGAATTTATTTTACTCGCTACTTTTCTACATCACTTTTCCTCTTCTCGATGAACAATTTCTCAGTTAGCATCATGCAACAATGTCTCATTCTACGATCTGTGCTGCTCGCGCAGTTGCACCGGGATACTCTCTCTCTCTCTCTCGTGGCGAAACACGCAAACTATAAAATTGGAAACGACGAGCAAGCAAGGCGGGCTTTGAAGGTAGCCCGGCTTTCACGAATCGCAATCTCGAGCACGCTCTAATTCTCGACCATGAATAGGGTCCCCCCAATCTCGCAATTTGCGCAATTTCGGGGTCCTATTTCGTTAATCCGCGGGCGCACGGACACGAGAGGCGACGTTTATAGTCGCGGTCGCCTCGCAATTACCGCCCACGTCTGTCAGCCGAATGCGGGCACGGACGGTAAAAGGGGGTGGCGTGTGTTAAGCGCGAGAATAAATACGCGGTTACTGAGGAGGGTTACGGGTCGGGTCGGGGTAAACGCCACTGCGCGCGCGAGTTTCGCGCGGGTGCACCGACGCGACGATCCCCAAGTCCCTTTTCGAAATTCGCGCACTTGGCTGTGCATACACAGATAGCAGAAGCTGCGTGGAATTATGGCCGTAGCTTGTAGAATAGCCCGCCCGATGGAAAAATACACCCGAGAGCGAAGTGTAATATTATTATTCGACCAGTTGGGGGAGAGAAGCAACTCACTTTCTGCTAGTCTAAACACAATGAGAGTGTGGCTAATTGATTACTCATCGAAGAAAGATGGTCGCATTAAGAGATACGCGGTACAATCAAGCAGACACGTACGAGTGTCAGGTCACGAGAAATGTCGCGTCGGTGGCGCGTCGTGACGCGCCTTTGCGCCTTCTCCGTTAATACTCGAGATCGCCTCTGCAGGCGTCATCGTGTATTGTTAAACCTCTTATTAACTAGCAAGCGAGCCTTTGCTCGCACCGCCCTTGTCACGTTCGCGATTGAAATAATCAGGAGGCGCGTCCTGACGCGCATCGCTGTGAATAATCTCGTTCGCCTCGCTCACGCGCGCACTTCACAACGGAACGCATTATGACGCGATAATGAAGTTCTTTAGTACCGCGCAAACGTCAGCGGTGCGCACCGGCAAGATTTATACGGAACTAGGGCCGCGTGTGTACGTTAACTCGGCCGGATGGGTCATAATACGGCGGCGCATCGGGTTAATTTCGAGGGCCGGCTGGAGTGGTGGGTGTCGCGACGTCGGTCCTGGCGGATATATACCGGCCGAGAGGAAAGCGCAACGCGCGCGCGAGGGTCACGAGCGCGCGTTGGGTTTAAGTGCGGAGGCCGTTGTCGTTAAAGGTTCATCGAGCGGAATATAGAGAGACCTCGCTCTCCAGCTCGGCGCATTGCCCGGCCGCAATTTACAGCGCTGCGTGTTAAGATTTAATGACGCGCGAATTTCGGCCTCGCGAGTTAAGGTTTCAAAGAGAGCAGGCATATCCGAGCGCCCTCTCGAGCGAGCGAGCGAGCGAGAGAGAGAGAGAGAGAGAGAGAGGGAGAGAGAGAGAGAGAGAGAGAGAGAGAGAGAGAGAGAGAGAGAGAGAGAGAGAGAGAGAGAGAGAGAGAGAGACGGAGCAGCGCGCGCCTCCGTGAGTTATGATTCCCCGGCGCGCGGCTGGTCGCGGTAAGAATAAATCTTCATTTTCGCGCGCCCGGAGCGCACGAGAGCCATACGGACTTTTATAATGCCGCTGCACAAATAATAAGTGCTATAACGCGAGCAGCTTGTTTACTACGTTCTTTGTCAGGTTACTTGGGAATATACCCCGCGATATAACCAGCGGCTAGCAACGAAAGTCGGAGCGGTGAGATACGCCGGACGAGCGAGAAAGATTCGCAGCGGCTGTAATCACTCAAGTCTCAAGTAATATATCTCGCCACAGATGCTATTGACTGCCGATCACTGAAAAGGTGTCTCGAAACACATTTCGACCATGAACGCGTTTATTGCTCTTTTCTGGTCAATTATTGCGCGAATTAATTACATTTGCCTTGATACGAACTTGATATGAGTATATTATTTAGCGCCGATCACGATAGAATTAATTATCAGGTAGCTCTCTCTGATGATCTTTCTTCAGAGATTATTGCACGCGACGAGACATTGGACAAATACGTATATTACGTGTGAAGCAACGACTGCTGTTCAGCGTAGGAAATCTTCATCCTTCTCGCACGGGCAATATATGGATATATACGGCACTGCGATGACGTTCCGCGGGATTAGCTTAACCGTCGTCGTGTCAGTCGCAGCTGTTTCCGGTGCCGCGGTTTGCGTCTCGCGACGCATTTTCGAACGAGACGTCTCTCCCCATCATCGCTTCCGCTCTCTATATCTCTCATCCGTGCGTCGTCAATTTCCGTCGTTACAACGAGCGCGAGTCGTTACGTTGCCAGAGTGTAGAGTTTGACATCTCATAGCTGAGACTGCACCCCACTGACATTTCCGCGCCATTTATCAGCGGCACCTGGCGTATTGAAAACTGTTTCGTCGCGACGAACCGATCGAGAAAGAAGGCGCCAGAGGTGTTCGGCACCATCGATTTCCGCAGTCGCGTCGGCTTTCAATCAGGATGGATTTTAATCACGCGCGATATGCCGACTTTACTTGCGCCGGCTCGTGCGCAAAGTGAAAATTTTGGAAATATACTTCAATAGTAAAAGCACATACACACACACACACACACACACACATATCAATTTCACATGAAACCTAAAAGTCCCGCACGTGTTCGCGTACGCGTACCAGACCGACAGGTTCAAGTCGAAAATTGAAAGTTGCTGCTCTGATGCTTGGAAAGAAACCCTCTCCGCCTGTCGAGAGATCGAGAGTGTCACTTTTCCGTGCATTTTCTATAAAGAAATATCTACATATCTGAACGTAAATTTGGACTTTTCACAAAGACGACGACAGAAGGGGACTCGACAATTTTCAACGCGTGAAGTTAAGATTCCGTGTCGAACAAGACCCAGCTGGAATTTGTTGGGCGCCAACACGCTGGTATTACAATCGGAATCGAAATTGCGAAAATTTCCCGCGTTCCCGCGAGGATGAAGTCCTCGTCGAAGCCGAAAAGAAGCCGCGACACAAAGCTTCCGTCGGAGTGAGTTCAAAGTAGCGCGACGGTCCGTTCGCAGCTCCCTCTATAATCCCATCCATCGTCTCCTCTCCTCTATTCGTTATTATCTCGACAAAGACGGCGCATTACGCAAAGAAGTATCCGATTGTCTCGATCAAAGTCCCCCCCCCTCTCTCTCTTTCTCTCTCTCACTCTCTCTCTCTCTCTCTCTCTCTCTCTCTCTCTCTCTCTCTCTCTCTCTCTCTCTCTCTCTCTCGCAAGTCGCCTCATATTGCTGCCGAGTTTCCTCCGCATTCTCTGGACCGTCGACAGGAATATTTCTTACTCATCGTGGACGTTAAAGCTAAGTCTTTCAAGTCTTTCAAGCCCCGTCCGGGTCTTTCAAGCGTTTCCTTTACTGTCTGATCTCCGCCGGATTCCATTCAAGTCATGCAAGACTCTTCTCACGAATTGAAATCGAATGCCTGGGCTACCTCCTCGCCTTTGCACGATTTCTGTCTCGCGTCTGTGCGCTCGCCGCCGCCTCCGCCGTCGCCGTCGTTCGCATGAAATTGATCTCTAAACAAGGTAGACATCTCGCACCACGCTCTAGATTTGCGATTTTTCATTCGCGAAGAAACGCACGTTGCGCCGAGTCAAAAACGTTTGCCGTTTTTGACTCGGTGCAAACATTTTCTTCCTCTCGCACTGCAAAGCGAAATAATATTACTGACAAGAGAAGCGTGGCTCTACGTGGCTCTCGTTTTATTGTTTCGCCAATATGCATTATTGCTCCGACTCTTGACACACGCGTACACATACACAATTGTGTAGCAAGAGAAAGAGAGAGAGAGAGAGAGAGAGAGAGAGAGGGAGAGTCGCGTAGGCTTCGTTAAATATACAATATAAATATTCCGGACGTTTAGCCGTGCCAACCTTACTGAAGTCGTCAATATTTCGTGCAAATTACCTCGGTAATTAGACGTATCGAATAAAAATTCCAAGGAGCAACTCTTGTCGCAGCCCCTTTAATTCGAGCAGAATGTAACGTCGCTCGTCCCCGCATCCTCCGGTTTAGACTCCAGTACGTTTAATCCCCAGTGACCGCCAAGGACGGTCGATTTTGTCTCTTGACAGCCGAGCTAAATAAAAATCGGTGACGAGTCGTCTCGAGTGCCATTAGCGCTTTAAGCTTCCGGAAAATCTTTCAGACTCGCTAATGCACCGCGTCCGATGCAGCGCGTAACAAGTCGCGCGAGCAACGGAATAACAAGCCGCTCGCTCATCCGCTCACCTCCATCTCCTCGCTCATAATCGGAGCTCGTTAACCGCGCGGGAACGACGCGAGAGAACTGAAGTTTACGGTGCCGTGATTGCGAGCGCTCGTTTTTCCGATTGCAGTCGTTCCCGCAACCAATTTCTGCCTGCCGCGCGCGAAAGTCCGCCGCAGTAGTAGCAGCGGCGACGGCGCTGGCGGCAGCGTGATTCGGGAAACGGCTTCCGGCTAGCTCTCGCCAGTCGAAACCTCATTACCGCTCCGAGGCTCGCGCGCACCCTTCCCTAAATGGGGATGGTCTCTCGCGCGCGATTGTGAGATAAATAAGAGGCAAGCCGGAGAGAGAGTGAGCAGGGCTCGGAAGCTTTACGTGTCTTTTGCCACACACACACACACACACACACACACGGACATATACAAAGGAGGACCACTTTGGGGTGTTTTCGTCTGTTTCCGGATTATGCAAACGCAACGCTACTACCTTTCGCCGATAGCGGGTCGGTGGGAGAAAGGCGCGCCGCCGCCGCTTGGCCCTTGCAATTTCGTCGGAAAGGTGCTCTTTGAAGTGCATGTAAACGCGAATGTCTCTTTTTAGGGCAGTACACGCGCGCGAGAGCGCAAAAGGATTTCCCGGTAAAATGTAGCCGCCGTAGCTCTTATTGCAGATTTCGTTCGATTCTCTATTCGACTGCACTCGGTGGA